TGGTAAGTCGGAGTAGTACCCGCTCTTGCTAACTGACCGTGGCTTCATGCATCGCTTCGCGCCGTGAGAGAATTCTTTCCGTGTCCACATTGTTCTAATTCGTAGCCTCATTTGTAGTCGGCTTAGAAATTAATTTATGTTGTTCTGTTGTTTTTTTATGCACATGAAACCGGATATTATTAATTTATTGTCGATTCCCTCTCGATTAAAATCTATGTATTTCATCATGCATGGAATGACAAATGTAACGTTTACAAACAGGTTATCTTACTAATATTATTATAAATTCCTTACTTTGTTTTCATTGTCTAAACACGCGTATAAAAACATATGAATATCCCTTTCATTCTCGTTGAATAAATAGAGATAAGAATATATTTCCAGATGTTTTCCAGTTCGCAGCATTGATATCGTTCCATTTTACAATAATACTTTTCATATAACATTTGTAATGCTTAGGTAAGAGAGGCATTAAACGGTATTATCGTTTGATTTCTCCGACACAATGTTCAGTTATTACGGCGTATTAGCGCAGTTTGCAATGTGCTTCGTAATACACTCTAGTTTCACGCGCAGACTTCGACAACGAAAGTGATTTCGACGCTGAATCTATTGCTACACAGATTTAAATCTGTATTTATATGGTCATTTGAACACGATAAATTTAAACATTAGTTTCTATAGCTTTAATTAGATCTGACTACGTATTTATGTTGACTACACGAATGCAAAAACATCTGCGTTCTATGACGTCACCACAGAGTCTAATTAAATTGCTACTGTCTAGTGACAGTAGCACACAAAAAACTAGCTGGCCACCCAAATTCGCCGAAATGGCCAAGCGACCACTACCCATAGACATCCGCAATTGCAGATGTGTTACCTAGTTTTAATCGACGGAGGAGAGGACGCACAGAAATATTTCCCATTCCTATCCGTCCACCGTAATCTACTTTCCCATGGCAAGTGAAAGAGCCCTAAAATTAGGTCTCCGGAACACACAAAAAAGTAGTACGAGAAACAAAGTCTAATTAGACACGTAACTCAATAGTTGACATTGTGAAGTGGCCACAAAAAATGTCACGTGTCTCGATAAGCTAGGTTTACAAGTGATACACTGATCGACCGGCATTAAGTTACAGTAACTTGAATCTGTGGGATCGGTGACGGATAAGTCTTATTTTGTTTTATGTTTGTATTGTCGTTTTATATAGCCAATAAATATATTGTGTTATTGTAGTTTGTACATTGATTGGAAACAGCTTGCTTATAAAACATGGTATTTTCCTTGAATCAATCTATTATTGGCTAAAAAAAATACGATACTAAGAGTAAAATGTTACTCCTTGCATGTATGTGCATGGATGTAAATGAAGAGCAGGAAGAGAGTTAAAAACATTTAATTTCAATCTTATTAATATTATAAATGTGAATGTTTAGATGGATGGATGGATGAATGTTTTAAGGTATCTTGAGAACGGCTGCATGTATGTTGCTGAAATTGGGCATGGATACAGAACATAGGCTGGAAGAACACATGGGCTACTAAAGATTTTTTTAATTCCGCGCGGATGGAGCGGGCGTCATCTATCTATAGTAACTTCTCTATTTCATTTGCGATTTATGAAAATATTAAACGAAAAAAAAAACGTAAACACTTAATAATGTTGCAACCATTGATTTTTAAACATACAATACATTAAACAAAGAACAAATATACATATTTAATCTATTGTAATCCTGTTATTAAAAAAACATTTTTTTGGTTTAATCTCCATTATTTTGCGATAATGATTTTTAAGTTACATTAAACGCGAGTTACATCGTTCTTGTATGGTAAATTAAGTCATCACTTTGTGACCTTAATGTTACAATTATTTTCTAATAATCTGTTTCTTATGCTTCACATAAGGTTACAAAAAGCTCAGGTGGACAAATTAGGCATATTATGAAAATTGTATGTTACAAAATACTTGTTTTTTCACCTTTTTTGAATATGGTTATAAGTTATTTTAGGGAAATCACTTTTGAAAGTATTTGATATGTAGATTATTCTTAATTTCGATATTGCAATGTTATATTATTAATGCGAATGTTTGGTTTGATGGATTAATGTTTGTTAGAAAGTATCTACGGAACAGCTGTATGGATCTAGCTGAAATTTGGCATAGATGTAGAACATAGTCTAGAAGGACACATAGGCTACTACTCATTAAGTTTCTTTCGTCGAGTCTCGGGCGACACCTGGTTATTTATAAAGTTGTAAACGTGCTAAAAACTGTATAAATAAAATTTCACAAATTATTTCTGAAAGTCTCGGGTATATTAAAAAAAAAACAAACTAGAGCAACATTAATCAAACTGGACACATTCGTCTGCGGGCGGACAAGCGAAGGAACATGTAAAAGATCACTTGCGTCAAAACACAGCCTCCATTATGCTTTGTTTTTGTTTCAAAGAATCATTTGCCAACACAAAGGCGGGCCGTATTGTTCAAACGTCCGATACAACTTGCCTACAACATGTTGCGACACACGTCAACGTTCTCTGTCACTTTGTAAATTGTTTTATTTCTATTCGCTTTAAAAGTAGAAGCGACCTTGCGGTCAGTTTTGGTGATTCATTTAGATCAACCTTTATTTGACTACACAACTAGTATTGTACCATCCTATTGACTGGTTAATAGCTTGTCCAAAACTAAAATGAAAACTCTTTGCTAACACAAATATGTTTTTTGTGAACTAAATATAACTAAAGTAGAGAGTTCTTGCACTCTTGAAACGTAAGACAAAACACTTTTTAACTTTTTGTACGAATATCAAACGTATTTTTAACGAAAGACATAATAAATACTGTATGGTATAAACAAAAAGCGAACGATGGAGCAGAATCCTGCAATGTTGAAATCTGTTATCTTTTTGTATGTATACATTTAAAGGGAACCCTGCATTTAAGCAACCAACACACCGAATACAATATCGCCAAAATTATCATATTGTACGAAGAATAAATTTTAAGTAAGATTATCATTTAAATTTCTTAAAAATTTTCCCCAAAAATGCAAGGATTATATAAACTTCTCGAAAAGGACATTGATATATGTAAAAAGGTGACAATTAAACTTATAATCCGACGACGATCATTGCGCGGCTGTATAACGGCTCGAGTGAGCGACCGGCCTTATATGGCGTGAAAGCTCCTCGTATTGTCCGGTCCGGAGTACCCGTGGTGTGTGATCACATGTGTTCGATAGCGCCTCATTGGCCCCATATGTAACTCGCCTTCCATGAAACGATTCCTTGTTTCACGAATTTGGATATGATACGTTTGATCGTCTTCTTTTAAAGAAATCTTAAAAATTATTTTATTTTAATTGCTGTATACTGAATTAGATAATATAACTCCATTCCTAGGAACTTCCTTGATAATTCTGGGGAATAATAAAGAAAAAGAATGATGGATCTTGGTAAAACTTTCGACTCGATAATTTGGTGAATAACAAATTGTAGTAATAATCAAATAATTTATTGGTGTTACGAAGTTATCGAGTTTAACTTTATCAATCAAAATAGAAGATCACATAGAATTATTACTTATTTATGTTAATTCCTACATCGATTTCGTTGTGATTAGTAATTGGAAGCGCTAAATGAGTTCCTTTGTGACTACATAAAACATAATCAAGAGGAAATTACACAAATGAGCTGCGAATATCCCGTTCTGTTTTGAGTTTGAGTAACATAATTTATTAGTGTATTTGTCAAGGTTGCCAAAAGAGTTTTACAAAGAGCAGGCGTCAGTCTAGATCTGATTAAAATAACACGAACTAGAATTCACTAAATGTTGTCTTATAAAATGTTTTATTGCAAACGACATGGATATAAATTTAAATATCATAAATCAACTCAATATTATCCTTGTACGTAGTGCTAGATATTTTCTTAGTAGAATTTGGCAAACGACTATAATAATAGAAAATTGTGTCATCATCCGATGTCGAAAAGCCTAAGTAACACCTTTCCATACTCGAACTTTATCCAAGTAATTTGTATGTTGCATTTAAACTTCCAACCCGCACTGGGCCAGCGTGGTTGACTATGGTCTGATCACCCTTAACTTAGAGTAGGCTCCGAGCCCCTCGATGGGGACGTATAGCTGATGATGATGTATCAATATTTGTGCAGCCCTATCGGGCGTAGACCAAAATTCTCATAATAATTTTAATGACGATGGCGATACGAAGGCAATTGTCGCAAATATTCATCTTAGGCCGACTGATAACGATTTAAACTTTAAAGAATATATCCAACGTTGTTTACATGAGTACAAAAATGGTGTTTGATTTAATGTTCTTTATTCAGATTATGAGGTGATATGACTCAGACTGATATCCGGTGGAGTAGATGACCATATGTTTTTGCAACACCGTATGCATTTAAATAATGTTACGTCTTCCTTATACGTATAAAACTAGTGTATCCTACCTGGTCTACTTCTTCATGTTTCCCTTCTTTAACGCAAAGTTACATCATCTTTGTACCAGATACGAATTTGGATAAGCACACTTATGACTTTTGAAATACGAAATACATTATTTAACGTGTATTTCGAATACAGAAGCAGAGTTCTTGTAAGCCATCTTACTAATATTATAAATGCGAATGTTTGGATGGATGTTTGTTTGAAGGTAACCTCCAGAACGGCTGCATGCATCTCGATGAAATGCAGTACACATATAAACATAGTCTGGAAGAACATTTATGCTACTAATTATGTTTGTTTTAATACCGCGCGCTCGGAGTCGCAGGCGACAGCTAGTCTGATATAATATCCGAAAACTAATAAATTCTTGCAACGACACATTAAATTTAATCTTTCCCAGTAAACCGTTTGGGCGGAGATCTAAAATTATCGCAACTAATATGACAGGTTTTATCTTAGAAATTTACTGCCGCAGATGTTGTAGGCCACACTAAAAGTTTTTATTGCTTTCTTTACAGAAATAGCGAAAGTGCGAGCCAGTTTATTCCAAATAAATGGAGTCAAGAAGGAGCCGCTTATTCTACCAGAAGCCGAGGGTATTGTTACCACACTCACAGAAAAAGTATACGTCCCAGTCAAAGAACATCCAGATGTAAGTACCTTTATAATCATTACAATATTTTACACGTTAAAACATTTTTCCTTAGGTACTAAGTAGTACTCTAGTAGATCTCAAAGCTTGGCCAAAAGCGATCGTCTTCTTCATAAAAAGTTAGTAATTATGTAAGGATACCATGATAATGTTTTTCATGGAACGAAAATAAAAAAAATAATGACATTAAACTTATCAATGTAGTAATGTTCTTATATTAAACTATTTATCGACAAAATATTTATCAGCCAGTAAATAAATTCTAGCTTTAATAAAAATAATATGCAATAAAATCTTTGCCAGTCATCTGAGAAATACGTGTCTATGGTATTAAAAATTATGTGTTTTTAAGAGAAAGTCCAATATTTAAGAATAAAATATACATATATTTAAAAGTTAAGAATGCCGAAGATTTTATTCTAAAGTATTTTTTATTCATACAATAATAAATGAATATATTTATTTCAAATTGAACATTTAATAACGGTGAAACTAATTAAAATTGTTGTTGTTAAGCAATGGACTTCTAAAAGCCTTGTTTGTATGTCATAAAGAGTAAACAATAGACAGTTAATTAGATAAACATACAGCTTCATGCAAAAACCTGTCTTCCGTTTATAGATGTTGTCCAAAGATTACTTGGACTATATTAGTAATAATTTTAACGCATAATCAAGCTTTCCTGCTTTATTTTATATGTCCGTATCAAAGCGTGTTGCCCTTGAACTCGAATCAATATTCAAATGTGAAATACTCGATCACCTAATCAATGAATTGCCTTGAAATAACGGTACATATCTAGACCGGTGAATTTGAAACTGGCAGCGTACGTTATAAAAACAAAATTAAATCTCGACAACGCTTTACCCGTGCCCAATACAGCTATCTTAAGTAGCTTGCCTGTCATTCATTCGCATTTATCTTTAAAGGGTGTATTTGGTACATTACACTTAAGATCGAGATAAATGGCGCAGGTTGGTTATATCACATCGGGAGATACTGCGCCGTATAAATAGAAACGCAAGGTTGGTAAGCTTCTACATTTGGTGACTTATGTCAGGGTTATACCTCGCTACAAACTAACGTACCAAGTTAGACCTTCGACTTTTAACTTTCATTCATTGTGGTTTGTAATCACCATCTCCATAAAATAGTAACGAATTATAAGATTCCTATTTAGGCAAAGAGGTTGTTGACTTGTATGATTCATTTCTTACATCAATGAATGTAACTAAATCTCTGTTTGAAACATAAAAGACATCTGATTGCGACTGATGAGGCTTATTTTGATAACATGTTTCATAGCAGCACGATCTAGTGCCTACTGTTGCCTTCTAGTGGCCGAAATCTGTGAAAGCGATCTGTTTTAAACGTACTCTGTGATATATATGGTTGAGAAGTCACTGACCCGAACAAGCTTATGAAGAAAACAGACTTCTTGATAATTCTTCAAGCTGTTTCATTAATAAAATGTTTTTAATGTTTGTAAAAACTTAGTTATGATGGAATATATAGTGGAATCACTATTATTTTAACGTTTTAACTATTTGTTTATCCATACTTTGCATACCTTTTGCCGGAAGAATAACGTCTTTATGACATGCGATTGTTTATCGATAGCAAAGATTTAATTTAATTTAATTTTAATCAAATAATGATTAAATTGTAGTATAGCTGTTCCAAAAATATGTCTTCATCAAAACAAATTACTATCTAATTTTACGCAATCATAATTTCTTTGATGCTGACTTTGTTTATTAATTATACCAATCAATCTTTTCGACTTTAGTTGATTAGCTGTTCGCTGAGCGCCCTTAGATCTTGTAAAAACATCTTATGAATAAAGTAAAGGCCTTCTTGTTTAGTTCACATAAGCTTTAGTCGCTTGTTAGTTGACGATTGTTGGCGCCATCCGTGCGGCTTAGTCACACTCCTTATATGGTATCGGTGTTAAAACGCTTTTTCTACATCGGTCACTCGGTATTTTTTGTAAGAATTTGTTTCATGTTCCAACATTCATTCTACAGATTAAAATTCGGCTAAAATACGTCATAGTTTTATTATAAATAATCGTCATTCTTCGTGAGGATCCTCTTGATAATTGTCAAGGGCGGTAACAATAAGAGCATAAATCTCTACATTAATCGAATATTGAATTACCGATCAAAGAAGCCGTAAGGATGCATTGGCTAAGGAATGATTGCATTTAATGACTTCTCGGAACAGTTATCGTATTCAAATAAGCATTTTTCAAATCAACATTCAAAGAAGCATTAGCATACCTACTGACGATTGTAAAGACTATAATATTATTGCTTCTTATAATGATTAATAAAATGACACCCTCAAATTTAAAAAGTCTACTCTTTGAATGTTTGATGATTTATTTAGATATCAGAAAAATCAATACATAAGTTGATGTTTATGCGTCTAAATATTGCGCTTTTATAAACTCAAGATTGATGTCTATTGAATGCAAAAGTAAAAAATGCCAACAATAAAGAATAATTTCCGTCATACCAAGAACTGGAACGGGAATATTTACTTTGGCGTTTTATTCGATCGCAAAAACCCCCGTAACGTAAAGTAAACGGCATCTAATCTGGAAATAGAGCACACGAAATGCGTTTCGTATACCGAATACATTGCTGTCGAAACAATAGTTTTTAGGCCTTGCTAGTAGCGGCCGTGACTAATAATGAAAATGTTTTCTATAGCAATTCGACTACACTCATTCTCGCAGAAGTGATGCCGTTACGTTTTAAATATGTTTTTGGAACTGTTAACTCTACAAATACAAGAGTTATTGACGCCGAAATTCGTGTGGTATAAATTAATTTATTTACGTCTTTAGGAAGTTTAGTCAACAGATTAGAGAATCTGTTCATATATTCGGAATCTTGTTAAAAATGTAGTTAACTTACTATTTTTTAACTTTGTGACATGATGAGCTCAGTGTTAATCTTTTTTCTTCCTTTAGTATTCTGCAAATTTTTCTACGTGGCCTGTATTTATACGTATAATGAGATTCATATGAAACGTATATTGCTTTATTGAAGTCCAGAAGTGCATTATATTCTAGGAAACGTCAACTGTGATATACAGAATGTATTTGTAACTAGAACGGCCTTCAACAAACTAGATATATTAACATGTAGCTGTATATTATTTGCCTTAATAGAAATTACACACCAAATGTATTTGTCGTCGTTTGTGAACTGAACTCCATGTAGACTTGCTAAAGGGAAGTCGGGTTTATAGTACCAACTTGATGGGATATCTTGTACTTGTCCTACTAGTTTTGTTCAGTTGCATTAAACCTGTACAGTTCAGTACTAATCAAGAACGATTTAACATAAGCATTTGATATTGTATCATGTGGAAAATTTAAAACGCATTAATAATGTAAACTGTTTTACTTTGTCTACAATATGTTATAGCAATTTTATGTTTACTTGTTACAGATCTCTGTGGTATTATCTATTGAATTTAATTATAAAATTAAAGAAAAAAAAATTATTATTGTACTAAGGGTAAATTTGACAGGGTAAAGACAGTATCATCTTACTAATATTATAAATTCGAAAGTTTAGATGGATGGATGTTTGTTAGAAGGTATATGCAGAATCGCTCAACGGATCTCAATAAAATTTGGCATAGATGTAGAGTAGTCTAGAAGAACACAAAGGCTAATCAGGTTTTTTTTATTACCGCGTCTACAGGTCCACGGGTGACAGTTTCAGTAAAAAGATTAGGCATTGCTATATTTATTATGTCACTTACAATCAGTACATTCAAAGTTGAGTTTATTATGTTCTTCCATTCGAGTCGTCCGCGGTATCTTCACATCGCCTTATAAAATAACTCTTATTAAATCTGTCCATATCAGTCTGTCCCGTTATACTATTTTTTGCTCAGCTTGTGGACTCCTCGTTCAAGACTTAACTGTTCTCTCTCCTTTCAATTCCAATCAGTATTTAAGATGTGTTCGGAGTGTTTTAGTTACGCTCAAACATATGTTCGATTTAATGATACTGTTCAAGTACCAAACTTTATGGTTAGAGAAAATTGTTGAGCAAATTCCGATAGTCTTCGCATTTAAAACATCAGTGGTCTTATTTATTGTTCGTAAAAGTCATTCTGACTAATATGTTTTCTATTCACCGCTTTTACGTGGACTGTAATTGAACCAGGTTGATTGATATTTTTATTGCTTATCGATAGTCATATGCTGTCGAATTTGGTGCGCTAAAATGTAATGAAAACCATTTTAAATTCATACAGTTATTTTCTAGCAAAAACAAAATTGTTTTTATAAAATTATCACCAGATTTTGTAGTATTTAATCCTTCATGAATCATCGCAATAGTTTTAATTTGATTAAATGGAATATCGAGATAAAAATATGTTGAAAAATAAAATGAAATAGAGATTTTAAAATAAAAAGGTGCAATTTTTTAAACACTGAAGACAGATATAATCTGTCTCCCAACTGTGTTCAAAATGCCAATTTATTTGAGCTGTCACCGTGACATATTGCACTTAAAATCTGCGGATACCTATTTAATTTAGCGATTTGTTTTCGTTCTACACATTTTACTAGTAAAGGAATTCCCACGGAAATATTAGTTTTATACACTTTTCATTCTTGGTATCTTTATAGCGGAACAGTCACTAGATAACATTTTTGATTTAATATGAACAAATGGGTTTCGTGGCTTTTGCAGGTTACTTCAAGTATAATGAAAGCAACATTTTATGGCAAATTTTATTAACCGTTCATTTTTTTCATACTGTGTTTTGTATGCGAGTGTGAATCTTCCAGAATTATTGACAGTAGGTTTCCGAGACTAAAATCTCTGTATAAAACATATCGTCATCATTGTAATTATCTTTGAAAAATATGTTTTAAACGGAGACGTTGGACGCAGAAACCCACGGTTAGAGGGTCAAGCAAAAGGACCAGAGGATATTGTATATTTTTGTATTCGAACTAGGAA